GGGTGGGGAACAGGCCCTGGGGGTGTTGGGGGCAGGATGGTGCCCACGGGAGCTCAGGGGGTGCTGGGGTGGAGCCTGTGCTTCCTCAGGGATTTGAGCACCTTGGTTCTCTCCAGAAACGTGGCACCAACACTGAGGCTGTTTTCCCTGCAGGCCTTAAACCGGAGGAGGGCAGGGTTAGGTGGGATATTGGGAAGGAATTCCCGGCTGTGAGGGTGGGGAGGCCCTGGCACAGGTTGCCCAGGAGCCGTGGCTGCTCCATCCTGGAATTGCTCCCATCCCTGGGGGCTCCTTTGGCATGGACAGTCCCGGGGCTGCTGGTCACCTGCTGGGATCTCTGGGGTTGGGGACACCCCAGTGGGGAAGGCAGGAACACCTGGATGGGAGACAGGTCCTGGACACATCCTGGAATCCAGCTGTGGGGGGCAGGAGGGTTTTTTGCAGGGATTGCGACTGGGAATCCCACACTGGGATCAGGATGGAGGGGACAGGAGAAGGGGGGGGGGGGGGGGGGGACGGGAACAGGGAGACGGGAACATGGAAGGCAGGGGCAGGGGATGGGAATGGGAGGGATAAGAGGAGGGGAATGGGGATGAGGGAGACAGGAGCACAGGAATGGGAGTGGGGTGACAGGAGCAGGGGGATGGGAACGGTGGGGACAGGAGCAGGGGGATGAGAGCACAGGGATGGGAGCACAGGGATGGGGGCCGGGATCAGGGGGATGGGAGGGCAGGGATGGGATCAGGGGGCTGGGATCAGGGGGATGGCAGCACAGGGATGGGAGCACAGGGATGGGAGCAGGGGACTGGGATCAGGTGGATGGGAGCACAGGGATGGGAGCACAGGGATGGGAGCACAGGGATGGGAGCAGGGGGCCGGGATCAGGGGGATGGGATCACAGGGAATGGGAGCACAGGGATGGCAGCACAGGGATGGGAGCACAGGGGGCCGGGATCAGGGCGCTCCCAGCGCAGCACGAGGGGCGAGGGGGAGGGAGCAGCTCCGCTGGCACCGAGAGCTGCAATTATTTTGTCACCTCGGCACAAAAGCGGAGCCGTGGGAAAGGCTGAGCTCGGGAATCAGCCCCGGGACCCCCCGGGGGTGCCACTCGCCCCTTCTCCCCGCGCTTCCAGCCCCGCAGCCGGGGAGCAGCCGCCTGGCACTGCCCAGTGCCCGCTGCCCATTCCCGGAGCCCGGAGGCCACTTTTCCAGCGCGGAGTGCGGGGACCGGAGCCGGGTCCCCCCTGCGGGACCCCCCCCGTCCGCGGCGGGGCCGGGGGGGCTCAGACCCCCCCTCGCCCCCCTCCCCGGGGGGCCTGTGTGGGACTGGCTCGGGCTGAATCCGCCCCGTTGGGTCCCTGATGCAGCAGCCGGAGCCTGGAGCTCCAGTTGCCATGGCAATGCCTGAGCGTTGAATCCAGCATTGTCAGCGAGCGAGGAGGAGGAGGAGGCACCCGAGTGAAGAGGAAGAGCCTTCAACTCATCCCCGTGCCGGGGTGGGCTCGCGGCTCATGGCAGCCCGGGATAGGGAGCCCTCGGGGCCATTCCCACGGCCCGCCACGTGTCCCGGTTGTCCGTCGTCGTCGTCGTGGTCGCCGTCGTGGTCGCCGAGCCGGATGCCAGCGCTGCTGCTGCCGTAGGGCCGGAGCGAGCGGAGCATCATCCCGGCCCCGGGCACGGCGGAGGAGGGTGGGTGGGCTGCGCTCCGGGGGCTGCGCCGAGGCGGGAAAAAGGACAGACGAGGCGGGAAAAAAGGACAGACGAGGCGGGAAGGAAGGAAGGAAGGAAGGAAGGAAGGACAGCCGGAGCCGGGCCCCACCGGCCGCGTTCCTCCCCTCCCACCCCCCGGCCATGGCGGGGCCGTGACAGCCGAGCCCCCGCGGGCGGGCGCTGCCCGAGCCGGGCTTTGACTCGACTCGCGGGGGGCTCCCGGAGCCTCTCGGGCGGCCGCAGGGGGGAAAAAGGCGCAGCCCAGGGACATGACTTGGACTCTGCTCCTCGGCTGAGGGGCTCCACGTTCCTGCGGGAGCTCCGGGGGGCCTCGCCCCGCGCCCGGGACTGTGGTGGCCACCGAGACCATGAAGAAGTTCGCCTCCACGCGCAGCCTCAATAAGATCCTGCAGCAGTGCGACTCCTCATCCCGCGAGTACGAGGAGATCCAGGCTGTGGAGAAGAAGTGGCACCTGCATCTGGCCACTCCTCGTAAGTTCCTGGACAAGAGATGCAAAATGCCGTCTCTCTTCCTTTCAGCTCCGCCGCCTCCCAAGAGAGCGCCCAGCACCACCCTGACGCTGCGGTCCAAGTCCATGACGGCCGAGCTGGAGGAGCTGGGTAAGGGCGGGGGGCTCCACGGGGCACGGGGGGTTTGGGGATCCGGGCCCGGAGCGCTCTCCTGGTGCCCGTTTTCCCGGAGAGCTGCATGAGCGGGAGCGCCGGGTGATGTCTCGCTGCGCCGGAGGTCCCGTCGTGCTCGGAGGGGTGTGGGGGGCTCGGAGCCCGTGATTGCAGGATTAGGGGTGCGGGACACCCCCCTCCCCAGAGCCACCCACCCCCTCTGGTGTCGCATCCCCGCGGGGGCGGCCGGGGGGAGGACGTTGGGTGTCTCTGTGTGCTCGTGGAGGGCTCGCCGCCCCCGGGCCCCGGAACCCTGTTCCTCTCCCTGTTCCTCTCCCTGTTCCTCTCCCTGCTCTTCTCCTGTTCCTCATCCTGCTCTTCTCCTGTTCCTCACCCTGTTCCTCTCCCTGTTCCTCTCCCTGTTCCTCACCCTGCTCTTCTCCCGTTCCTCTCCTGTTCCTCTCCCTGCTCCTCTCCCTGTTCCTCTCCCTGTTCCTCACCCTGCTCCTCACCCTGCTCCTCACCTTGCTCTTCTGTTCCCCTCCCTGTTCCTCTCCCTGCTCTTCTCCCTGTTCCTCACCCTGTTCCCCTCGCTTCTCCCTCTCTCTCTTCCTCACCCTGCCCATCTCCGGGCTCCTCTCCCTGCTCCTCTCCCTGTTCCCTCTGCTCCTCTCTTTGTTCCTCTCCCTGCTCCTCTCTTTGTTCCTCTCCCTGGTCATCTCCCTGTTCCTCACCCTACTCACCCAACCCCTCTCCCTGCTCCTTGCCTTCCTCACCCCTTTCCTCACCCCCTCTCTCTCTGCTCCTCACCCTGTTCCTCTCTGTTCCTCACCCTGCTCACCCCACTCCTCTCATTCTCCTCGCCTTCCTCACTTATCTCCTCTCCTCTCCTCTCTCTGCTCCTCACCCCGTTCCTCACACATTCCTTACCTTCCTCTCCCTGCTCATCTCCCTGCTCCTCACCCTTCTCCTTCCTCCACTCCTCTCCCTGCTCTTCACCTTCCTCACCCTGCTGTTATCCCTGCTCCTCACCCCTCTCCCTCTTCATCCCTCTCCTCACCCTTTTCTCATCCCTCTCCTCTCCCCTCTCCTGTCCCTGCTCCCACACACCCGGGTCTTATTCCCCCTCACCCTGTGCCAGGTGAGCTCCAGGTGAGCTCCAGGTGAGCTCCAGGTGCGGTGCCATCCCCTCTCCTCCCTCCCCCCCGTGCCCACGGCCGTGCCCACCCTCTCACACTCCACGGCCTGCCCACGTTTTTCCAGCTGCTCTGCTCTCCGGCTGGAGCTCCGTGTTCCCGGATTCCCTGGAAGCCTCTCCACCCCCAGCCCTTCCTCACTTCCCTCGGTTCTCCCGGCCCTTGTGGCCACCCCGGGGGGTGTCCCCAGTGTCACCCCCCGGTTTGGGGGGGGCTGTTCCCTCCCCTTGGTCCCTCCCCTCTCCCCAGGGGTGGCAGAGGTGCCACCGGAGGGGGTGGCAAGTGAGACAGTGGCCACGTGGCCCTCGTGGCTGGATGGGCAGTGGGAGATGTGGAGAGACCCCCTCGGGGTAGCCACGGAGGGACCCCCATCCCGGGGAGGCTTTGGGGCATCCGTGTGCCCTGGCACAGGTTGGCTCTGCCAGGAGAGGTGCCGGGGCTGGCACCAGCAGAGCCAGAGGAGCTGTTGCCGTGGAGATTTAGGGATTTTCCCTGTGGGAATGTGCCCTCCTGCGCCAGGAGGGTTTAGGGATTTTCCCTGTGGGAATGTGGTGGTGTGGCCATGGCACAGGGTCCAGTCCCGGCTGGGAGGGACCCCCTGGAGCGCAGGAGCCTTGGCAGGACCCCACATCCCCCTGTTTTTCCATGTCCTTCCTTGCTTCCCGCCCTCGGTGCGTGACCAGGATTCCCAACCCCGTGGGCTCCTCAGAGGAACCAAACCCAGTGCAGTTGGGACAGATCTCGGCATTCCAGGGCTGGAATCAGCCATGGTCATTCCAGGGTTGGAATCAGCCGTGGTCATTCCAGGGCTGGAATCAACCGTGGTCATTTCAGGGCTGGAATCAGCCGTGGTCATTCCAGGGCTGGAATGAGCCGTGGTCATTCCAAGGCTGGAATCAGCCGTGGTCATTCCAGGGTTGGAATCAGCCGTGGTTTATTCTACACTGCTCTCTCTGCCCTTATTCCCACCCTGGTCTGCTCCCTGCGTCTCCAGACCTTTATTCCCAAGCCAAAGGCTTTCTCTTTGCCAGGATCCATTCGGAACAGCCCCTTTCTTCCCCTTTTTGCCCTTCCCTGTGTCCAGACCCATCCCAGACTCCTGGGTTCCCACTCCCACCCTTGGCTGTGACCCAGAGAGGCGTTCCCAGCCGTGTGCTGTGTCCCACCTGGAAAGGGATTGGGAACATCAACCCCATGGCTCCCAGGAGAGGGATTTGGAGGGATTTGGAGAGGGATTGATGTCAGTCCACATGTTCCCAAGGAATTGCAGTGGTCAGTCCCTTCCTCAGCCCTGTGGATCGGGGAATGTCCCACCTCATATCCCACAGGGAAAATGGGGAATCATCCCCCTTCCCACACTTGACCCTGCAGAGGGAGTTTCCATGTGGATCAGCACCTCAGGCCTTGTCTTAGAGCCTTGTCTTAGAGCCCTCTCTCCCTCCCAAGGGACCCTGGTGGCAGTGAAGGGACATTCAAGGGGAGCTCTGTCAGGTGCTCCTTGCCCCCTTTTCCTTGGATCCTGTCCCTCCCTTGCAGCTCCCAGAACATCCCACGTCCCCACAGCCCCACTGAACATTTCCTTGCTGCCTGTCGTGCCCGTCCCCTTGGAAGAGCAGATTCCCAGCAGGCTGCAAACAAAGCACTCCCATCCCAAAATCCCGGCCGTGCCGGATGCAGGGAAGGGCTTTGGGAAGTGTGAGGCTGCCGTGGAGAGCAGGGAGGCACTGAAAGCTTTGGAAGAGCTGCCTGGACATCAAATCCACCCAGCTCTGCTCCCGGTCTGGCTTCCCTGCTCCCAAGAGGAGGGGGAGGGATGGGTGGAGGGCTGATCCCAGCGGATCCCAGGGCTGGGATCAACGAGGTCCGCCCTGCCAAGCCTTTGTCCCGGCAGAGGCTCCACATCCCAGGCTGGATGCGGCTCCTGCCCACATGCCAGAGGCAGGGAAGCACCGGGAGCAGGCAGGGCAGGCAGCCAGGCTGGAGCTGGGGCTGGAAGCAGGAACTGTGCATGCCATTCATGTTGTCTTTTGTTTCTTGATTCCAAGCCTCCATGCGGAGAAGGAAAGGGGGTGAGTGAAAACTGCACATCCTGGGGGCTCCTCCCTTCCCTGCCAGCACCCCCCAGCACCCAAACAGGGGGGCACCCAGCACCCCGAGGGGCTGGATTGGGTCACCGTCCCCGCAGAGTCCCTCAGGATCATCCCGGTGGCAGCCGGAGCTCGGGGTTGGCACCGGTGCCATGGTGGGGTGCCAGGAGCCGGGGTGGCCGTGTGGGGCTCTCCTTGGCACGGGCAGGATGCCAGTTTGTCCCCGGATTCCAAGGGCTGCCGTTCCCAGGGGTGATCCCTGCCCCATGGTGAAAATCCGCGCAGGAATTGTCCCCAGGTGGGGTCCCCATCCAGGGGAAGGGGCTGGGCCGTGTCCAGCATCATCCCAAATGTCCCCAGTGGGGTCTCCTTCCAGGGGAAGGGGCTGTGCCGTGTCCAGCATCGTCCCAAATGTCCCAAGTCTCTGCTCCTGCCTCTGTGCAGGTTGTCCTGCTGCTCCTGGAATTCCCACTGCTCCCACATTCAGGGTGTGCCGGGGATGTCACAGGAGGGACACGATGAAACCAGGAGGTTTTTGATGGAAGGTGTCCCTGCCCGTGGCAGGGGTTGGAACAGGGTGGGCTTTAAGGTCCCCTCCAACCCCAAAGCATTCCGGGATTCCTGCCAGGGCCAAGAGCCAGGAATGGACAATGGGGAAGGAACCAGAGGCTCATCCAGCTCCGTGTTCCCACAGCACAGCCCTGGGGCAGAGGGGAGGGAGCCTGGAGGCCTGAGCTCAGCCCTCACCCTTTCAGAGGCAAAACTGTCCTGGGGGTTCCTGTTCCCTGCTCCCTGAGGAGCTGGGAATGTGAGGGATCAGCTCTTCCCTTGCAGTGGGGGGGGGACAGGGAGGCAGCTGGGCAGGGGTGAGGTGTGGGGGGACTCTGAGGGACCCCCGACCCTCCCCTGCACTGGGCACATCCCTCAGTGCCCTGAGGGGCCACACCAGGGTCCTCTGGGTGAGGAAAATCCACTGGAGGCCACTGGAGTGTCCTGGCAGCGGAGATGGCTCCGGGATGCTCTTCCTGGAGTGGAAGAGAAGGAGCTGGGGAGACCTTGGAGCCCCTTCCAGTGCTTGAAGGGGCTCCAGGAGAGCTGGAGAGGTTCGGGATGTTACATCCCTGTTTGTCCCAGACACTGGAGTGACACTGGTTGTGCTGGGGACACGGAACGTCGGGGCCATTCCGGCACCTGAGTCCACTCAGGCTGGACACATCCCAGTTTTTCCCAGACACTGGTTGTGCTGGAGCCTCGTGGAGTCCCACGGACATCCACGTGTCCCATTGTCCCTGTGGCACCCGGGTTTCCCATCACCTCCCACTCCTCCTTTGCCCGCCCCGGGGGGGGACTCGGCTCGTCCCGAGTATCCAAAATAAATCCGGGAAAAATTCGCTCTTTCGTGTAAGATGGAGGATTCCTTGGAATGTGGCACGGCCAGGAGCGGCCCCTGGGGTGGGAAGGTGGCCCAGCATGGCATTGGCATGGCACGGTGCCACCCTGAGCCGAGCAGGATCCAAACCCCCCCCCAAATCCTTGGAAAGCTGCTGGCTGGGGAGGAGAGGACGAGCTCCCGGCGCTCCCTGCTCGGGGCTGTCGGAGGGGAGGTGTTCCCTGTGGCCCTCCCTGACCCCTGGGCTTTCCCCCTTGGATTTGCAGAGAAGCTGGATGAGATCCTGGCGGCCGCAGAGCCGGCGCTGAGGGCGGATATCGTGGAAGCAGATTCCAGGGCAGCCACTGTGAAACAGAGACCAACCAGCCGGAGGATCACCCCTGCAGAGATCAGTGTGAGGGACACGGACAGGGAGGGCAGGGAGGGAGGGAGAGGGATAGGAGGGTGTGGGGAGAGAGGCAGTGAGGACACGGAGAGGGATGGGAGGACAGGGAGGGAGAGGGAGGAGAAAACATGGAGGGAGAGGAATGGGAAGGCACGGAGGGAAAGGGATGGGAGGGCACAGAAGGGAGAGGGAGGAGAGGACATGGTGAGGGAGGAATGGGAGGACACAGAGAGGGATGGGAGGACATGGAGGGAGAGGGAGGAGAGGGCATGGAGGGAGAGGGAGGAGAGGGCATGGAGGTAGAGGAAGGGAAGGGCAGGGAGGGAGAGGGATAGGAGGATGTGGGGAGAGAGGCAGTGAGGACACAGGGATGGGAGGACACAGAGGGAGAGGGAGGAGAAAACATGGAGGGA